TATTAACCAGAGAAATGAAAAGCTAAGTCACACCAAAACTCTGAAATTCTAAGCGTCCACATTCATCTCCAAGTTGTCCACTTTTTATCAATGTGCTCTGTTATATTCTGAACTAATATACCTAAAGTTGCTGTTCCCTGGATTTCAGGTTTGCAATACTAAATTACTTTTTACTTCAAAGAGAAAACGCTTTACAGAGGAGTACAATACTGCAAACAGGTCAACAACCCTGTGGAGCAAGCTATAAGGTGACATATTAGTAGCAGTGGCTCAATTTAGTAAAAGGCAGAAGATGAAGATGTCCTCATTCTTGTAGGCACCTATCATCATGTCACCCCAAAGTTCGCATGATCCTACTGCAGTCTGGAAACTTCCTTCGGATGATAACTGCAGTCCTCGTTTTGGTTTCCCACCTCACATAGGCCCCTCCCTCCTCTCCCCACCCCCTCCCACAGAATTAACAGTCTGTCCCCCATGTCTCCGGGCACTTTGTACATCCCTCAGCTGCAACTCACACCCTGTATCTTTGGGCAAGTCTGTCTCCCACTCGAGACAGGGAGCTCCTTGAGAAGAGGTGCCTGCCTTGCTCATCGTAGTAGGTATTTAATAAATGATTGAATAATCTAGTAATGAATGAATGATACACACAGAGGGCTAAATATAACACATCTGTCAATCTCTCTGGTTTACAAAACAGGCCTTATCTCATCCTGACTTTCCAGGTGCAGACATGAAGGCTCTGAGACACCAAGTGAACTCCTAAATCCATCCAGGTATTAAAATGGCAAGATTCAGGACCTGAATTCTGTGCTTTTTCCAGAGAAAACATGTGGCTGTCATTATGTTGTTTTCTAACATAGTGACTTTTACAATATTTAAATGACACATCATAGTTCCCCTCCCCTCAAAAAATAATCACTCCATAGTAGAGCTCACATTTCTTCTGATGGCTAGGGATAAGAAAGAAATAGCATTTAGATGCTCAAATAATGCCCTATTAATGTTTCCCTTCCCACGTGTAAGCTCCTCACAGGCAGGGGCCTGTGATGGAAATTTACCTCTGCATCCTCCCCCACTGCCTGGGATATTAACTCAGACAGGAGAGGGGGCCAATAAATATCAAGGAATCAACAAAATCCAACGTGTAACATCTGATTAGGAACTGTGAGCAAGGGGCTGTCTGCAACATGCCTTGGGCCAAACAGTCAACTCCTGGGTGCAAGCAGCGAGTTGCAAGGTTCCAAATGTCAAGGGAACGTCAAGCGGCTCCCAGGTTCAGCCAGAGCTCTGAGCCAGCCCCATGGTCAGCTACCCGCTGTCTTGCAGGCCCCTTCTCTTCCCAGCCCATGTGTGGAACTCCCCTAATCAAGGTTAACAAGAGAAAGAAGAGGATGGGCCACCTCCCTGGCAACCCAAGTGGGCTTGCTTCCAATGGGCCACACAAGAATGGTTTGCAGCTGAGAGAGGTGGGCAGACAGGAGATGCTGAGATGGAGAGGGTATTAAAGAGGCCACTCCTGCAGCCTTGGTAATAGGTCTGTCCCCAGAAGCCTGAGAAAGGAGGATTAAAGATGAGGATCTTTTTCCTTTCTCCCTAGGGTGACAGTAGCCTGGCAGAGTCCAGGTAGAAAACAGGAGGAGGCCACGTTAAAAGAATAAATGCACAGAGACGGAGGAGATGCTGTGTGTCAGACCTGGTGTTTGGTTCAATTCCCCCCTTTTCCTCTGAACCTGGTGCTCTGACACAAGGAAGTCCAAATTCCCTTCCAAATGAACCAGGCCTTAAGCTTGGTCCAGCTCCCAACAATTGGGAACAAGACATGGATCTACATTACTGGTGGAAGCACAAGTTACCAGTGTCCATTAAAACAGTCATTTTTAAGTGCACCTGGCTCCTCGTTACTGACATAACATGCACATGCCTTCTCTACCTCTCCGTGGCACATGTGATGTCTTCATTCTTATTAACTGCCAGGAAGATACCTGCAGCTTTACTCAGGTACCCAAGCAGGTCAGGAGTGAGATGCTATTATACAACTTGTCTAAGTTCTCCCATCCTGCCAGACCTCACAGTATCCTGACAGTCCCTCTGTCAGTGTATCTAAATCAAGCTCTTACCGCTTCCTTGGCACTAGTCTCTTTTACATTCTTGATATCAGTAAGCCTGCATCCCTCCAGCTCGCCTGATCACCAAAACAGGTGAGAGCTGGTGTAACAGAGAAGCAAGCATGTGGTCTGGAAGGCCAGAGTTTACAGCTATAATTGCCAAATGTTGCTGTTGCTGCTCATGATTACATATTAGCCAAAACACGCTTGTCAAAATCTCCTTAGACCGAGGGCTCCTGAAACCCCAGGGTCCAGATCTCATAGAGTACTTTTAGGCACCCTGTGCCCCACCCCACACACACACGGCGGGATAACCAAGTTAAACATTTCCCTTTGTCGACTTTCTAAAGCTCTAGTTATAAAAGGCACCATGAAGAGAGCAGACAATTTCACAGGCAACAGCACAATCGACAGGGCTTCGCAGACACACTGATACCGCTAGCATGAGGCCAGCTAGCCACCTCCCCGAGACGTGGCCTTTAGTTTTCTGCCCATGACCAAAACAGCAGCAGCTGTTGCCAAGGGAGACAAGGTGACCCAGAGGCGTGGGCACAAAATCCAGGGATGGAAATCCATTTTGTCTGGATCCACCCAAGCAATTGGGTTTCCCTAGCTGAGAAAAGATGAAAAAAATCTGCCTCAGCATTAAGTCCTTGCCAGGCAGGTAGAAGATGCCTCCAGATGCAACCAGAGGCCCTAACAGAGTCATGAGAAAGCCAGGGGGCAAGTTAGCCTGAACTCGCAGAAACACCAAAGCATCCATAGGCCTCAGGCTGCAGGACCCTGGAGGCAGGCCAGAGCCATGCTCCCCCAGAGGGAAACTCCCACCAAGGCCAGGGGAAGCCAGGCCTCTCCTCCAGGCTGTCACCAGCCCACAGATTCAATATCAGCAATCTTACCAACAAAGATCCACACTGCCCCCCCCTCCAGTCCTCACCCCCTAGCTAACAGTGCTTTGGCATTCAGGAAAGAATGTACCCAGAACTTCAAGGTGAAGAGCAGCATGGGGTAGGAGAAGGAGCACTTCTGGTCAGAATCCCATGTCTGCAATGTCAAGCCTTTCCACCTCTCACCTCCAAAGTTTTCTCAACTTTAAAAGTGAGATCAATCTTAAGCCTAACTGCTTTATCTGTTTTCCAGGAGTTTCTTTCTTTCTGGATCTCATAAAACCATGTGAAAGTGCTCTGTAAACTGGAAAACACTTCATGCAGCTGCTCGTTTTATAATTGATACCATCTTTTCTTTCTGTTTCAAGGCATAAAGCACTTATTGTCAATGCACCCAGGCAGGTAAGAAGACAGGTTTTGGAAACCCCTCCCCCCGGGGGGGGGGGCGGAGTAGGACACTCATTCACCCTACTCCCAACCCCCAACCCAAGGGATAAAGAAGAACTAAGAACCAGAGCTGGGACCAGAACCCAGGGCTCACTGACCACCACATCACACCACCTCCTCTGAAGTCCATTCTGGCTCCAGATCACACGCCCAGAGCGCACTTCCCAGACACCACACTGCCTTCGCTCCCCCTTTGTTGACTAGATCCACCCAGTTTTTTAAAAAATTATTATTTTTTAAGTCAGCACTCCCACCATATGTGGCATTCATTTCCAGAGAAGGCCTGCCCCGGATTCCCACGGACAGATGTTGCTTTGTGCCTGCCTGACACCGCTGGCAGCCCTTGCACAGCTGCCCCGAGCAGGTGGCCAAGGATGGAGTCCACTCCCGGCCCAGGAGCAAGGATGACAATCTCTGCTGGGCTCAGGCCCTGGGGACCCTCTACTCATTCCTCTGCAGCCTGGGACCCCAAGGACATCCCCCACCCCACACACACTCCCTTGGCGCAGAATCAGACCTTAAAGGGGGCTGAGAGGGATAGACAGAAGGCCAAGATAACCCCCCACACACACCCCCTAATTCTCAGCCAGGCGCAGCTAAGCTAAGAGAAGGCCCTGGGGAATGCAGAGAAGTCACTGACCCCTTCTATCAGCCATCTGTGAGCTCCCGCCTGACCTAGCTAGCGCAATGTGGAGGATAAAGGAGGTCCAGACAGATGGCAAAGCGCTTTGGGAAGGAGGGCTCTGCAGGAATGCGAGGGCCGAGGCGAGGCCCACTTTGGGGTGCGTTTTGTTATCTCATTGGCTCTGAGCCCCCTCTATTCTGCATCTACCCGCAATCTCAGACTCAAAGGAGAGCAAAAACAGTCGGGGGAGGCGGGGAAGAAGACCCTACTCTCTGCCACTTGTCTCTCATTTGAAAGTCAGAGCATTGCACTGCAACTAAAGTGCGTGTGTGCGGAGGGGGCGGGAGACTGGCACAACCGAGTCTAAAAATACTCGATAAAAATGCTAATCCCGAAGGCAAAGCAAGAACGAAGAAGGAATCTGTCAATCATGAGGCTCCCGCTCCTCACCCACAGCCCCAGCTGTACGGACTGCATTCCTGTTGAGGAGGAAAGAAGTGGGGGGACAAGACTGAAGAAAAGAAAGGGAGAGACACCACCACCTCCACGAGCGCGGGCCGCGGGGGCGGGAGGCGGCGGCGGAGGAGGGGCTCGGGCCCGCGGAGCTGAACAAAGCGGGCCTCAACTTCTAGCCCGCAGCTCCCCGGAGTGGGGGCGGCCAATTCCAGCAGCACCCCCGTTTCCCGGAGGTGAAAAGCGAATGTGAGGTCTGGAAGTGAGAGTGCCGCGTGGAAGCCCCAGGCTCTGATGAATCTTTGCAAATCCAGAGAAGGTTTTGTTTGGGGTCCCCCTAACCCCTTTCTGTCCGCGCTCCCACCCCCCCCTTACACACACACACACACACACACACACTCCCTCCCGCTCCAACCCCACCCGGCCGGCCACGCCACGCCAGGGGGCTGGGCGGGCGCGCCCCCGGGTCGCTCGGACCCCCACCTGGGGATGGTAATGCACTTGGTGTTGACGTTCTGCGTCGTGATGGCCTTCTCTAGCTCGTCCAGCTGCCCCGTCTTCTTGAGCTTCTTAACCAAACTCTTGACCGCCTTCTCACACCACTTCTCCTCCTGCCCGTTCTGCTCGCCCTTCTTCCAGCCCAGCAAGCGCTTCACGATCGGCGGGGTGAAGGGCAGGATGGACGACATGGCTGGGGGAGGGCGCCCCCGGCGGGGCTGCGCGCGGTGGGACGCCGGGGGCGCAGAGGGGCGCTCGGCCGGGGCCGGCCGCGGCCGCCCAAACTTCGCCTCAACTCTCGGCGAACTTGCCCGTGCTCCGGGCCGGGCCGCGGCGCTGCAGCCTGCGGGGCTCGGCGCGCAGCCCTGCGCCCCGAGCGGCTCCCACGGCGGGGAGAAGGCCGGCGGGGGAGACGGGCAGGCGGCCGACAGCGGCGCGGGGTCGGGCAGGCCCCGAACGCGGGGCGGAGGCGGCGGCCGCGAGACTCGGAGTGGCAAAAGAAAGTTTGGGTTTCCGCACGGGGTAGCTGTTTGGGTGCCGCCTCCAGGAAGGAAAGTCCAACCCCCAGCCAAACTTTGCTCGCCTTGTTCGCTTTGATGCGCAGATCCCTCCGCCTCAGCAGCCTCGCCTCCCCGCTTCCCTCCTCCTTCCCGGCTCCCTCGCTCGCTCGCTCGCTGGGCCGGCCCGGGGCGTGCGCCGCGCTCCCGCTCCCGCCCGCTCCCAGTCTGTGTTTCATGCAAATCCGCGTGCAGCCTCCTTTCCAGGCGCTGTCACCGCCCCCTTGCCGCCGGGGCTCCCCGCCTCCTCCCCCGCGCCCCGCCGCCTCCTTCCCCGGGCGCCCGGCCCGCCTCCAGCGTCCGGGAGGGCGCCCGGCCTTCCCCCGCCCGGCGCAGAGCACGCCCACGCGGGCGGCCGGGGACAGCCGCGGCCCTGGCTGGAGCGCGTAGGACCCCGCGCGGCCCGGACCTGAAGTCTTGCGGGCGCCGGGAGGAAGTCGTGGGAAAGGAGCGGCGAGAGGGGCCCTAGGCGGGAGGGCTGGGCTCGGGCGGTGGCGTCCGCTCTCGGAACCCACACTAAGGAAGCTCAGTTGGAGTTGCCGGCCGGAGAGGGTTAGACTCGCAGCGAATGAGCGCCCTCAGACCAAAGGCTGGCGATGTACCCCTGGGAGGACCCGGGTCCGAGAGAGGGCGCACGGAACGCTGAGCCCCGGGAAGTGGTGGCGCACGTGGACGCGCGCGCGCTGATCCCGGTCCGGGGCCTTGGCCGGCGCTGGCGACCCGGGGGCTGTTTTGATTCTCTCATCGGTGAGATCACACCGGCTGAGAGCCCCAAGGCTGTGTGCGAAGGAGGAAGTTGGGATGGGGAAGAAGTGGGCTCTCAGAAGGGGAGATTTGGGGACTCCAGTGACACCCTAGGTAATAGCTGGAGCCAGGGGTCCCTTGGGCTTTGTGAATCAAGTGCCCGGCAGAAAATAGGCCTCAAAGACATCTGTTGAATTCGTGAAGGAATGAATCGGGACGCTTTAGAATTTATCTTGGGGGAAAAATGACATTGCAGGGTGTTTTGAATCTTATGATACAGAAAGATCCGAAATTCGACACCCAATAAACAGAAAGAGAGAGAGCTTTGTTTCCAAAGCTGTGAACTCGCAAAAAGTGGGGCAAAAGGGCGGTGCTCGGGAAGTCGATGCGTTCAAAGTTAGCCTTGGTGGGAAGCAAAGAAACACCGGGATATTGGGGGGCTCTGGGGCTCTTCTCCCCACCGGCAGAATTCAGGGGCATCTGCCCACAGACCCGTCGGCTGCTTTCAGGAGTTACCCCAAGCCCCAGGGCCTTCCTCTGCTGACCCTCCCCTACCAGGCCTCTAGCCCGGTGTCTAAGAGCTTTGTTTATTTTTAACAGCAGGAAACCCCCGTGGTGAGAAAGAAGTTATCTGCAAACCCTCAAGCCAGTGGGGAGTTACAAAACCCTGTGAGGTGTGGCTGAATCCACAAAGTCAGCCCAGAAGCTGCAGGGGTCCCTGCCTTGTGGAGAGAACGGCCTCCCACAGGCCTGTCAGCTGCTGCCACTGAGCGCTGTGCTCTCTGCCTGCCCTCCCCTCCTAACTCCCCGCCTGCTTGGCCCTTAAAGGAGAATCCCTGAACCCCAACTGAGGCTTAACGACCTGGTTCCTGTTCCTTGCTGGTCCTCCAGCTGACCCGCAGCTGCTATGGTCTTAGGTTTCACTCCCTTCTTCCTAGCCCTCATCAAAAAAGAGAAGGAAGGAAGGCAATCAACATTTATTGATGGCTTTCTTCATTCCAAGTCGCCCAAGTGCTGTCATCTAATTTAATCCTCACAATGGCCCTTGAGGTGGATGTCCCTCTGCCTCCCGTTCACAGAGGAGGCACCTGAGGTGCGGAGAGATTACAATACTTAGGATTCCAAGCAGCACAGCTGGAATTTGAACCCCACGCATTGTGAGGCTTCGGTCCCAGTTCTTGCCACTGCACCCAGCTAGCTGCCTTATAGAGTTGTGGAAGGCAAAGATGACATCATTGATAGAGCTCTTTGCAAAACAAAAGTTCTTTACACAGGCTCGCTATTGTGCCTCTACAAGAAATGTTTGCTCACCTGTAAAATGGGGCTACAAATAGCTTTGCTCTCCACCTCCTAGGGTGGTTGTTGAAATCTAATGCAAACAGTCAAGTGTTGTAAAGGAATAGGACCACACCTTGGGGTCACTGAAATGCCGTGGAGAGCCTGTCACAGAGTGCGGATGAGGGAGCTCGGTTCTGTTCGAGGCGCATCTATGGAGAACCTCTGTGTTTCAGTCCTCCTACCCATTTCTGGGAAAGCTGAAATGAAAGATGCAAGTGCCTAACCTCAAGGACCTCACAGCCTGGAGAAACACCAAGGGGTGGGAGGTGTGTGCCTGGGAGAAAGGGGCCCTTGCAATCATTATCTCCCGGTAGAACATTAATTTTAACCTGAACATCAAATCAAGCAGGTCCAACTGTTGAGAGGCAGGCAGATAAAGTAAAAGGACGTCAAGCTCCATCAGTGACCAAGCTGGCTTTCAATCCTGGCTCTCTCCCTCCCTTCACCTCACTGAGCATTTGCTCTTTCAGCTATAAGAGTGGAGCAAACCGTTCTTCTTATGCAGAGTGGTGAATCTAGAAAGAGCATTAAAATTGTTCTCCTCCAATGCAAGCCCCTCATTTTACACAGGCAGAAGTGGTATCTGGTGAAGGGAGGTGATATGCACTATGGAGTAAGGAGAAAAGATCTGAGGATTAAATATAGTGGATGGGCCTAGCGTGTACCTAACCCCTAAAATCATGGCATTGGAAGGGCCCCTTGTTCAGCCCTCTCATTTTCCTGAGGGGAGGAAATAACTCGTCAGCAGCTAGTTAGGGCAGCTGAACCATGCTATCCTGCACTTTCTTCACATGCAGGCATCCATGTGACACGGACAGCTGTGCACGCAGAAAAACAGTGCTGGACCCAGGTGTGAGTCCAAGAAGTCCCATTTCTGGGCTAGTTCTTGCTCCTCTGGCCTCGCTTTCTCCAGGAGAAGACTCAAGGGAAGAAGCCCCGTTTCACAAAGCAGCGAGGAGGGCTGTGGAATGGATTCCTCCCAGTGCCAGGGGGACCCCAAATGCTCCCTTGACTTTGGGCAGTGAATGGGTGGGTGGCTCCGGATGCATAGGAACTCCGTTCTGGCGCCTGGTCTCCTGGGGCCCAGCCAGGCAGGCTTTTGTAGAGGTTGTCCTTGGAAGGGAAACATTAGCCCGGTTAATTTTTCATCATGGTAAGTGCAAAGTTCAAGAGAGGTGGGATGGGGCCGGAGGCAACAACTCCGTTTCCCTGGGAATAGTCCTATCAGGGAATTGCCTCACTAGCCGACTTGCCAAAGGGTTTTTGTGTGTTTGGAGCAGCTCCCATGTGGAATACTGGAAAGAAACGAACACCTGACTTCAATTCTGATTATTTTTCCATTAGCTAACGGAGGTTTAATCAACAAGTGGTGAATCTAGAAAGAGCATTAAAATTGTCCTGTCTTCATTTTGCAGAGACATAAAGTGATGTCTAGTGAAGGGAGGTGATTGGCAATATGGAGATAAGTCAGGATCTGGTCAGGACTAGGATTCTCATCAGAGTGCCCTCACCTAAGAGAGAGCCTCGGTCTGTAGCTCTGTGTAGCCCCTGACACATGCGAGCTCTCCCGGGGCACCCGGCAGAGCTGGGTTAAACTTCTAGCTCTACTACTTCCAGCTGTGTGACTTTGGGCACGTCCCTTAACTCCCTGTTTGTCAGTTTCCTCATGCATATGATGGGAATAATAATAACACCTACCTCTTAGGATTGCTGTAAGGAATCAAATAATCAGTGTAGAGAGCTTGCCACAAGCACGTAGTACGTCCTCAGTATACATAGACATGACTGATGCTCACCGTGGAGTACTATGCAAAAGTTAGAAGTAATGAGTTCTGTATACACAAAACAAATAGATGAATCTTAAAAACCATTCCAAGTGAAAATAGTAACACACAGAATGAAATAAATAACATAATGCTCCTTATGTAAAAAATGACATATATACAAAACAATTGTATACATTTTGAAAGAGGTCATATAAATAAAAAGATACACATTGAACCACTTTACACCCGTTAGGATGACTATTATCAAAGAAAACAAATAGAAAAAAAGTGTTGGAAAGGATGTGGAGAAATTGGAACCCTTGTGCATTGCTGGTGGGAATGTAAAATATTACAGCCACTGTGGAAAACGGTGTGGAGGTTCTTCAAAAAATTAAGTGTAGAATTACCACTTGATCCAGCAATTCCACTTTTGGGTATATACAGGTATTTATCAGATATTTGCACACCTGTGTTCATAGCAGCATCATTCATGATAGCCAAAAGATAGAAGCAACTCTAGTGTCTACTGATGGATGAATGGATAAACAAAATGTAGTATATACATACAATAGAATATTATTCAGCCTTAAAAATTATTCAGCCTTATAAAGGAAGGAAATCCTGTTACATGCTACAACGTGGATAAATCTTGAAGACATTGTGCTAAGTGAAATAAGCCAGTCACGAAAGGACAAATACTATATGATTCCATTTATACAAGGTACCTAGAATAGTAAAATTCATAGAAACAGAAAGTAGAATGGTGGTTGCCTGGGGCTGGGGGGAGGGAGGAATGGGGAGCTAGGGTTTAATGGGTACAGAGGTTCAGATGGGGAAGATGGAAAAGTTCTGGAGATGGATGATGGTGATGGTCATACCACAACGTGAATCTGCTTAATGCTACAGAACTGTATGCTTAAAAATGGTTATAATGGTAAATTTTATTTTGTGTATGTTTTACCACAATAAAAATATATATGGAAAAAATACACATTGAACACAACAGAATAGGTTTTTGAGGGTGGACGTATGGGAATGATGGATGAGGCTAAAGGGGAAAAATAAATAAA